AAACACGTTGGAATTTCTAGAAGTGTGGGTCAAGCAGGGTGATGCCTTTGGACTTCAGTGTAAAAGGGAGCAAGCATGGTTTGCTATTGCAGATTTTGTGATATGATTTTGTATTGAGATGTGTTAAGTATGGTCTTGGCATGTTTAAAAAAAAAAAAAAAGGCATTTTGATGCCTTGATTTCAGGTACTGCGCCCACTTCTAAAAACAACTGAACTCTGAAAATATCAACAAAACGTAGTGCCTTTTCAGATTCTGATTTTGTTGATGTGAAAGATCTGTCAACAATTCTGTATATAAACGTTTTTATCCATAAATATGAGCATAAATGATCTCTATAAATATAGGTGGTTAATTTGAAGTGTCTTGGACTACGCTTTTCTTTAAAAATACCTAATTTAATTTTTAGTCTGTTGTTCAGAACAGTACCCTAAAAAAGTCCCTATAAGTCCATTTGCTGCAAGAACAGGCTTTTCCCAGTGAACCAGCCCCCTTACTTGGGGCCTCATTTTATAGCGTGCAGTCTGTATTGGGAAGCAAAAGAAAACAGTGCTCTCCTGCATGGCAGAACTAGCCGTACAAACCATAAACAAACAGTGAAAACTATCCAAATGCTGTCAACAGAGTAGCTACTTTCAAAGACCTTTGACTGAAGGTCTCATTGGACCTGAAATCTGCTCCCTGCTTGAGGGCTTGGTGGGGAGGGGGCAGAGAGGCAGAACTTAGCACTGATTTTTCAACCCCCTTGGATGAATTACTGACAAAACTCTAACTTCTAAAGCCTGGTGAAAGCTCAATTAAAACCAGAAGGCTACTAGTTTTCCTATGTGAATGTGAAGGCAGTCACCAGAATACATTCTATAAGGAGAGCTTGTTTCTTCTGTGAAATACATGGACCACTTCTAGCAGATGTTGCAGCTCCCTGAGCAATGTGGGACTGGAAACCATCAAGTAACTGGGAATGAGAAGCTTGTATGGTGGAGGAGGGGCCACATGAGAGGTATCAGGTAAGGATATAACGTGTATTCTAATGCTTGAACTCCCTGAAGCCTCTTCTGGCCGTGTAACAACAGTGTTCCTGGCTACATAAACAACTATGTTCCCTAATCTTTCCATGTTGTGAAGCAACATCTTGGAGCAGAAGTGGAACACTGAGCTTTCTCTATGCTGTGGCAGGTGAGAATTCTTTTTTTAAAGAACACTCCTAATTTGGTTTGCTTTGGTTTTGTTTTCCCTGGGGCTTGGTGTTAATTTAAGACTTGGGCTTTTAAAGAAGGGTTGCAGTCACAGGAGCCTGCTGCTCAGGACAGCCCAGCAGGGTGGGAGCTGAAGCTGCCCATGACACGGTGTTTTTGCTGGCGAGTGCCCTTGCTGCAGGCAGCAGTTTGCCAGTCGCTTTCCTGGGAGCCTTGTCTTCTCCCCAGCCACTGTTGTTTTTCAGGCAGTGGTCACCCATATGCTACCAAGGGGTTGAATTAATCACCTTTCCCTTCACTGCTACATATTCTAGATGCTTGCTCTCTATTTTGAAATGTGGAGTGCTGTTACTGTTCCCCTGAGCTTGATCACTGCTGCTGCCTTTCAGCAGCAATGTGTGTCCTGCTTTTTGTTGATAAAATACCCTGCAAAGACCAAATTATCTGAATGCCTTGCACAATTCCCAGCCTGTGCTTCTAGTGAAAGTAGCATAGTAGCGGAAGTATTAAGTGTTCACCAGCAGTGCTGGGTTATCTAAATCTTAACTTTTCTGTGAAGGATCTATTAAAAACATGTAACATAATGCACACAGCAGCATATTCCTAAACTGCCAAAACTAATTTCCCTTGCAGTGCCCCTGAGATGACATTTGGACACAGTTGTAGCAGCATACTGACTTGTGCATTTAGCATATACCCTACCAAAGACCATGGAGAGATTGCAAAGTGTGCAGGAAATAATTTCAGATCTGGCACTCAAAGACTGCTTGCTTTCAAGATCAGTAAAACCCTTCCTCAAGTACTAAAACTGCTTTTCTAAGCAGACACCTCCTCTTCTCTGAGAAATCCTCATCTGTGCAGGGGACTGCTGTTTAAAGAGAGCAAAGAAAGCTACATACCTAAGAGCTTTTAAAGCACCACACTCACCTGCACTGGTCTCTTCATTGCATATAAAATGCTGCTACGCTGCTCTGGGCCCCCTGCACTTACAGGTTGTACTTTGACTGAAGCATTGTTGGGGAAGTGCTTTAATCTCATCTTGTATCATAAATCCCTTTGAACTTGAAGGAAGCATTTTTCTTTTAGTCACAGATTAAAATAGGAATCTTTTAGTGAACAAAGATACTAAAATTCCTCTGTGTTGACTAGGCAGAACTTTGCTCTTGGCTCTGGTAAGGGAACAGTGTAAACAAGTTAAACAGCAGGTTACAGTTTTTAAGTGTTATAACCAGTAAGCCTTCTGAAAGCTGCATTTTCCCTTCATCAGCCCCAGTGCATTGACAGTAAAATCAGACCATCTTTAACTCCTTCCAGGGGCATATAGGTTGCTTTCAAAGCTTGGGAACTGTACAGTGAGTGAGGGGAGGTAACTCTCTGCTCCCTGGAATAGACTTTTATTAAAGCCAGTGCTGATGCCAGCACTCCAGTAACAAGATGGGCTGCTCTTCTACACATTTCTTTTAAAGCTATATGGTGCCCCCACGTGGCTAAGTGCCCCTCTTGTCCCTGTACATTTTGCAAATACAATTGTCTTCAATGTTACTGCTGGAGATGAACTGAAGTAGACTTAGCCATACATGATCAGCTGAAAGAATAAACATTCTTGTTACAAACAACTCAAATTTTATGAAAAAATGCTCATCTGGAGCTGAGGAAGTGCTGTTCTGATTGAGATCATGTTTATGCTATATGAGGGCCCTTTTAAGGCTCTGTATGTTCAAAACACTTTTTTCCTTATTAATAATAAATCTTCAAACGCAAGGTTTTACCTGTAGTTTAATATTTATATACTGATGGATAGCACCTAGAGGCCCCAACCAACATTTGAGCCCCTCAATGTTGCACATAGATATGTCTCTGCCCCAAAGAGCTTACAGTCTAATGGAGAGTAAGAGACAATAGTAACCCTTCTTTCTTTATAGATGAGAGACTGAGATCCAATACAAGGTGATTTGTCTACTTGGAGGCACAAAATATGATGGATGGGAATTAAACTGACATTTTTGAAGCTTTGTTACATATCTCAGGTAAAGATGTTCTTTTCTTTCTAGACCACTTTTCATTTAAAAAAAAAAAACAAATTAACTTATTCAGAAATGTCATCCTAAAGCTGATAAAGGTTCAGGACAGGAGCTCCAGGACTGGCAAACCTCTTGGTCAAGACATAGCTCCCTTACCTCTTTTCATTTTTCTATGATCATCTCAGAGGTCTGGGGACTCAGTCTGCCCCCTACATAGCTGCTCCACACACTGCCTCAGCCTAAGCAGGGCAGGCCAGGAATTACAGTCCCCAGTTCAAGGAGAGTTGTTTTACATGCTGCAGCAGAGGAGCACTGTTAATACAGGACTAGGACAACTCTCCTCTGCCCTTCCCCAGGCTCCCCATCTATGAAAAAACAGTTTGCCTTTGGGGTGAGTGTAGTCAAAGCAGCACAGGGCAGAAATGTAAGGGAGAGCCAGCACAGCCTCCCTTCTGCTCTGGGGCTGGGGACAGGCTCCTATGTTTATTCTAGGCTTCAGAGAGACAGCAGTAAGAAATGGGCTTAAGTTTATATGAAGGAACTTCTCATTTTATTTCAGCTTTGGTATTGAGTTCTTGGTTTGGAGGTAGCAGTAGGTTCAGTTTATTTCATCAGCAAACCAAAATAAAACAATCTCAAGAGTGCATGTTGCTAAATTGCCCCCCCTCTCTACTGTTATCATTGCAGCTACCACATGGGCCTGTGCCCCTTCTCCACAGCTTGTCCTTCAGCTTTAAGCATGGTGACAATGCTGTTAATTTTCCTGCATTTTAAAGTAAAGCTCTTCAGTTTCATATTCAGGTAAAAGCTCTTGCAGTCAGCCCCAGCCTCATTATATAAATCACTGCCACCTGATCACTCACCAGTCCTATGTCTTTTGTCAGCTCTGCATAAAACAAGGAGTTTCCTGATGCTCAGGGCTTAGTGATAACTGAAAGGTAAGTAGGAATAGCCATTAGCAGATGAATTAGTTAACAGTATTCAATATAAACAATATACTTCACCTATATAAAGCAGTATATTAATTCACAAGCCAAGCAGTATTAATAGTGGTGAAGGTGGCAATATACAATGAAAAATTAAAGCATAATCACCTGGAAAACAGTTTTGCTTTGTCAGGGAGCTGTGTTTACACATAAGTATAAATGAAACAGCACTGACCATAGAAGTTGAACAGTCATGGACAGCTATGCATATGAAAAAATTGATCATTTTTCAGCTATTGCACAAGTGGTGACACTCTTAAGACAATATATAGCAGTATTCTTACAAAATGACATCAGAAACAAGGAGCTGCATGCACCATTTTTCAAGGCCTTATGTGAACTATACATACAATATATAGCAACTCTTGTGTAAGTACATTGTGGATGCATATAAACTCACATAAGCATGATCAAAAGATTGACTTGTAAATAGGAAAAGATCAGTTTCTGCCATTTTTTGCTTTATTTTGTTTAGAAGACTTCTTAGCGTGTACACTATTTTAGATAATATGCATGACACCACTTCAGAGTAAAGAGGTTTTATGTAAGCATAATCTTAAATGCTTTGGTGACTGGATATTCCTAAAGAACAGTTTCTGTTAAACCAAACTGATTACTACTAAAAGGTGAATGTGACTTTTATTCAGAAAAGAAGGATATAGAATATGGCTAATCATTTCACATATTTTCACGAGATACAAAAAAAAAAAAAAAACCTTTTCAAGTGGACTGTGATTTCTAAGCACAAATAATATTGTACACCATGCTATCAGTGGTTTTAACGTTTAAAACCCTGATCAAAATGACTTCATAATTATTGTGCATTTCTTCAAATGTATCAGGTTGGCAGTTGTGGAAGGAAATGAAATATTTAATGACTAAATTGGTGCAAGAGGTGTAAATTGTCTCCATCCTACAAGTTTCATAATAAAATACTGTTGTGTGTTTTAACTTTAGACATGAGCATTTTTATATTGGAGGCTGGTTTGTTTCTAGATGACTAAAAGTTTCAACTAAAAAGGTGTTTACACAATATACACATTTCATTACTTACAAAGAGAAATAAGCTTAAAATTTCATATTAAAAACCTGGGATACAGTAGGGTTAGTAGCACCATGAAAAATGTTTTTCAAAACTGCAGTCTGGTTATTTTAAACATACTCAGTGCATTGTCTTTTTCTGTATTCTCTTGGTTGATCAAAAAGGTGCCATTTTGGTACAGGGAGAGAAATGGAAACTTTCATCTTCTGAGCCGTTGTGAACCTCAAATGTCTTTTTTGTTCCAAGAGGTCAATTCTTTTATCTTAGTCCTGTTGTAAAACATGTGCCAAACAACCTTTTGTTTGGCGAGTGAGGTACACTTGAATCTGCATGGTTAAAAGAGTTTGGATTTTTTTTTTTTCTTTCCACACAGTAGCACCATTATCACAGCTGGAGGACAGTGCACCTTAGGAACTTGCAACTGTTTTTATAATAGATTCTCTGAGATGTTACGTCTTCTTCATGCAAACTTGACAACGACTAATACGCGTCCTCAAGTCTCCAGCTTTCAGAGTCTCTGACTGAGGTTTACTGGGTAACAAATAAAGATCAGGTTTTTTTTTTTTTTTTTTTTTTTTGTGAACTGAACTTTATGCCTTTAAGCTCCTACTTAATTCCACAAGTTAAGAAGTACAGAAGAGAGACTTAATCAGCTTTTTTAAAGTTTTCCTTACATGTGATTCTTCTGTATGTCCTCACACCTGGTGACAGTTTTGGGTTTCAGTATACAAAAGATATGCTAACAAACCACAGAAGCGTAGGACAGAGCACAAATACTAAATTGAGTAGAAGGCAAATTCTGTAGATTGGAGGCAATGTTTTGGGGGCACATACCATACTTCCATCCTTTCCCCTCCCCCAAAAGGGAACCATATTTGTAATCTTGAAGGGAATTACAACACCTCATAAATACAAATCTCATTGTAATCCTGTTGCTTGTAATTGATCGATTTACCAAATAATTTACTTCTGATCTGAAAGGGTAAAGAGGAGGGAGACAGTAATGCAATCTCTTTATGTGAATGTATATATTCCCACACAGTAAGCTTGTTCTTTGAAAGGGCTGTTTAACAAATTAAGAATAAAGTTACTTGTGGCAGACAAAAAGGAAAAAAAAGGGGCAACAGTGGGGACAGAGAAAATTAAAAGGTCCAGGGGCATTATTAACAGGTATTCTACACCAGTGCATTACAGGGGCATTATTAACAGGTATTCTACACAGGTATTCTACACAGGTATTCTACCCCTTCAGCACTGATCAACTGCCCTGAACTAACAGGCTACGAGGGTGATGACTACTTACTGCATAATTAAATATCACTGTGTAGGTGGTGTCATGTAGAACCAAATTAACAGCCACACTCCATCAACACTGCCAGCCCTCTGCCACAATGCTTACATTTCTCAGTTGGGTGGTAGTGGGAATAGTTGTTAGTTTTTATCAATATGCAAACAGAGCCATAAAACGCTAGCCTATAAGTGGAAATATATAAACAGTGACCTTAAAAGTTTTAAAGTAGAATTGATCCTGCCCTAAGACTGAGAACAGCCTTACATGGATTTACCCCTAGTTTGCCCCATACATGTCCCTTGTATTTCTGTGAGCTACCTTTTGAAATATTTGAGTCTATTTAAAGACCAGACAAGGACAAAAAATAAACAAAATTTATCCTTAAGGATCAAAATTCATAGTGCATTGGCACTATTTTCAGAAAAGATATTATTAGATGTAAGAATTGTTAGAAAAAGAACCAGAATCTCTGCAAAACAGAATGTGCCCTAGCAAGTTTTTCCATAATGTTAAAGGCGTACCAAGCAAACACTTGAAAAACTGGTTGTGAGAGAGGGGAAAAAAAATTCTTTCCTTTTTTTATGAAAACAAATCACTTTTGATCTTAGGAATAAGTTCAGTTTCCAAAGGTTTCAGCCTGGAACCAAGCAATATGCAAGAAACAGGTTTTCTTACCTGAACATTTCTGACACCTCTATAGTTGCCAGCCAGAAACTATAGGAATTGGCATAGTAATTACAAGTTCCACGACCATGGCACTCGATAAAGGGAGCTGAGCGGAATTCTTCTAAACAGGATCCGGGCGATGCCAAGGCCTGTCCAGATCCCTCTGCTCCAGCACTAGTGTGCTGCAGGCCGGGGGAGCAGGGAGGGAAGAAAGAAATAAAAGAGAAATTTTCTTTGGGACCCTAAAAATATATTAGCACAGCATACAAACTTTTAAAATAACTACTCTTCATTCTCCATTCAAATGATGAAAGATCAGACACTTCTGTTAATATCCTTAGAATGGCAGCATTTACCGAGAATTATCAGTTATGCTAGATTCTGCATACCGGAAAATACATGGATATTGACTACGGTGGGTAGCAACTGGAGGTGAGTGCTTTTTAATAAGAACCATGGTAGATTTTAACAGAAAATCCCTGTTATTGATATAAGCTGGTAAAAGTCATTTCTGGAATGGAAAGCAGTTCTTACCATCATGAACGAGTAACCAATCCAAAGGGAGTCCCAGCCTGGCGGACACGAAGGAATCTGAATGGTCTGACTGTGGACAGCTATTACCATTGCAGGAGCCTCACACACAACACATCTGGACATAGGGGAAGTATCAGAGAAATATGACAGTAAAATAACAGAAGTATATGTTATTAAGAATTATTTCACAAAAGGGAGAGCTGGCCTGTGAAAAGCTGTCCTATTAATCCAGATTTCTGCTTCTCAAGTATTTTGTAGTTGCAGCGAAAACAGTAGTTTTTCCAAGATGTCCATTAATAATCACAAGGTAAAATACAAAGCAGTTTCTGGAGCAAAAATTGTCCCAGGTCCCCTAATGAATGTCTTATTTTCCAAGCTACTGGCTCTTGCTTTCTCTCTCCTCTCTGCAGGGATCTTGTGCTCTCTGCTACACAGCTTCCTCAGGGGTAAGGAGTGCTCTTGTACCCCTTCAGCCTCTAATGATTGCTACTGCAGGTGAGGAGGGACCCAGCAATTTAAAATAAACTTTTTTTCGTAGTATTTCCCAGAAAAAAATACAAGAGATTCATTTTCTAATAACCCGACCCACAGGTTAGAAATGTTACAAAGATGAGGCATGCTGTTTATCCAGATACTAAACCAGGGACCCGATAGCTTTGCCTCACCGGCTTATGAACGGCTGAATGCTCTGCCCCGTCAGCGGCTCCATGCTCATCGGCATTGGCTCTGGAGTTGAGAGCCAGTAGGAGTAGTCATTCCTTGAGGCGTAGTTACAAACATTGTTGATGTTGCAGAACATGAAGGGCATCGTGCTGAAACGTCGAAGACAGCTCCCCGCAGTACCTAAGGGGTAAGATGCATGAAATATGACAGTGGTGGTTTTATTTTTAACATTTTTGGGGGAACATTAATTGCATGTTCTTCCTATCCACCTATGAGTGCATAATATTTGCTATCAAGTTGTCATGTGTGGGGAAAAAGAAAAAACTTCTGAGTTTAGTTCAGTTTTACAACCCGTTTTGAATAAGCATTTCTGGAAGCAACAGGCCTTAGTACGCATCCCCAACCTCATCTAAGTAATCTCTGGGAACACATCTTCAGCAAATAAGAGCATTTTAAAAAGTGGTTATAATCTTATTCTCTTTCAAGACAGACCATAAGAAAATCTCACCCAAATCTTGGCCATGGGCTCTCTCGTTTCCTTGCACATACAGCAGAGAGAATCCATCATATATTCTTAATGTTCCTTGTGGACATAGTGGTGTATCCCTAGTCTGACTATGACGAGTTATAAGGAATCCATGAGCAACGGAGGCTGTTCCAGGAGGACCAGGTGGGCCTTGCAGGCCATCAGGACCAGGGGGCCCCTGTGTTCCTCTTGAACCTGTTCATAGGAGAGAAGTACAACATGCAGTATTTATTAACACATTTTCTTGCTCTTTTGTGACTAAGGTGGCTTTGAAATGAAGGATGGCTTAGTGATCAAGACATTTACAATTTCAGTAATCTCATACTTCTAACACCATCTTCAAATGTTTTTCTCTGTAAGCTCAGTCAAGTCACTGAGAGTGTTACAGCTAGTTATAAAATATCAGATAGTTTGTCTTCCCTGGATCAAAGGTGTGTTGTGAAGATAAATATGTCAGGAGTTGTGAGACACTGAGATGACACAGTTCCAGTGGACATGACAACCCACAAGTCCAAATCAGTTCCACAGCTCTAGTTCACTCATCTGTGCATGCAGCTTAGTAAGCTAAAGCTGAAACACCTTGCTCAAAAATCACAGAATAGTGTCTGAGCTCAAAAACAAATCAAGTCTCACTGTACAGTATGCACTAACAACACCTGAGCCAAAGTCCAATAAAAATTAGTAGAAAAGCTGCAGTCAGTTTTACAATAGGTGGCCAAAAAAAAAAGAGAGAAACAAAGGAAAAAGGAAATGAATTAGAATAACTTCAAATGAGAGGGGGGGAAAAAAAAAAGCCCTAACTAAGCAAAAAAGGATCCTGTGACTCAGAAAAAGCATTTTCTCTCCACCTGCAAAAATATCAGGAAAGATAACGACAATATATTGTAGATTTTTATGCTGCTTTAACTATTTGAATTCTGATAATTTATCACCAGTTGCAGTATCTAATTAGTAGTATGCATCCAATACAATTTCTTTTCTCAAATTGTAACCCGAATCAATTGCTACATGGTAGCCTTATTTCTGAATATGCTAAAATTCTTTCCTCTATGGGGTCTGTTTTTCTTCAATCTTGATTTTCATGTAAACTGAAAATGATTTTGCTAATTCTGTTTCTTTCTGCCTTCATTATTTGCTGCTAAGGGAACTCGGTCAAGACAAAGCACACTACAATATTATTTAGCACTACCTGGTAGTGTGTTGGTCTTGAGAGTGTTCCAAATCAAAGTATCTTGAGTAGTCTGTAACATTTTTACACTAGGAAAATTCTAGAATTATTATTCGATTATTATTTTCATGAGGCAAATCTCACTTTTTGATATTAGCCTACGCTCAAAAGGGACCATCTCTTTTTCCAGTGGCTCCTCATAGGATTAACACAATACCTGGTTGGCCTGGAAGACCTCTCTCGCCTTTACGTCCTGCTGGTCCATCAAACCCGGGTAGCCCATCTCGCCCTGGATCACCAGGAAGACCAATTGGACCTATAAGAAACAAATGCATAAGTGAAATGGAAACTCTTGAAATCTCTCACTACAGAAATCTTTAAACTGGGATTCATCTGTTGTTTCCTTATGATATATTAGACAAGCACAGACCATTAAACCAGACGTGGCTTAAACAACTGCATATTTTTCTATTACCTCTTGCAGAGTTCAAGAACTTGTCTCTACTCCTTATGCTGAGACACATGTATTGCACCTCGCAGTCAGTTATTCCTAGTCATTTTCTCTGAAGCCACCTCAAATCATACCTGGTAATCCTTGTGGCCCAGGCAATCCTGGTGGCCCTTTTGAGCCAGGTTGTCCTGGAGAACCTGGTGGACCAGGGTCACCTTTGACAACAATGCTTCGTCCAATGGCACCTGGTAAGCCTGGTGGACCTGGGAGAAAGTAACTTTGTATCAGATAAACTGAAATAGAAGACACTATCAAAGGCAACTTGAGTGACCCATTATCTGTTACTCTTTTGCTAATTCAACAGCCAAGAGCTATCAATGCAAAACACAAGCGTAATAATATACAAAAAGGCAACAAAAGTGTTCTTGGTGACCCCCCAAAAGACAAGATATATTGGCCTTTCAGGGTTTAACCCAATTAAGACCAGATACAGAGTATAAAATACAGTAGCATTAGCTGTAGAGCTAAAAATTACTAGTTTGGGATTGTGTTGTGGCTGGCACTCATATAACTACTGGACAGGACCAACTTTCATTGCTGGCTGAAACCAAATCAGTCTTACATCAGTTTATCAAATCTTACTGTGATAAGCAGAAGTGACGATAACATCACCCATGGCTCCTACCTGGTGGGCCTGGCAGGCCTTGACTTCCCATGAGGCCAGCAGGTCCTGCAGGTCCAGGGGGACCCTTCATACCTGAAACATCAAATTCATGCAATCACACAGTGAAAGAATAAGCAGTGTTACAAAGCCTGTTACAGGAGTTGCCAAAATCAGGCTTCTTTCCTCCCTGACAGGTTGTCACTGTATCTGAGGCATTCATTTGAAACACAACTTCAATACCTGGGAATCCTGGAACACCTGGAACCCCCGGGTCACCCTTCATTCCATTCAGACCAGGACGACCAGGATCCCCCTGAACAGAACAACTTCACGTTACTCACTCATCTACCCAACAGTTTCAGAAAAACAGCAAACAGGTGGCTGGCACAAAAACAAGCATGTTTGTATGTGTCTCAACTAAGCAGAGTGCTTTGGAGGGCCCAGGTAGTGCATTCTGCTCACTGGCTGACTGATGCACCAGGTGCTGTCAGAGAACACTGTATCACAGCCCAGGTCTTCACAGCTTCAGCTCCCACAGGACAAATGGGGAAAGCTTGCCCAGATACTGGGGAATAATTGAGGAAAAAAAACCCTTTATGTTGCTATAAGACCAGATGCTAGATATCATATTTTGTTTTTTACTTTACTATTGTAATATGCATATTCCACCCAAACATGTTCTGTTTTTATTACACTTAAAAATAAGCTGGGGGAAAATCCCATTTCTTGTCCTACCTGGCGTCCAGGTGATCCTTGATCTCCCTTTTGACCAGTCAGGCCAGGCGGACCAGGTTGACCTGGGTTCCCTTTTTCCCCTTTAAGTCCTCCGCTGCCTGGTGGCCCTCGAGGACCTTCTGGGCCTGGTGGACCTTAACATTGTGGAATATACATATATCAGTAGGTGTCAACTGTAGTTCCAGGCTTTTGCTTTCAATCTAGTAAGTATAAAAAAGGTAACCTAAAGATTTTGACCTGACATCCCAGCTCTACTTCAATGTTGAATTCAAACAGGACAAGCTAAAGAGGAAACAAAGATGGTTTATTTGCACTGCCCAAATTGGGAACCAAAGGTCCTTATCTAGTTGATGTACAGATTGCCTTGGAGCAATGTAACTCCTCCAAGCTAGAAGCTAGCCAGTGAACAGACAAGTGTCTTCAGTGGAGGCCAAGTTACCCCAACTTACATAGTGCAAATATCCCCTCTGATGACCTACATTATGCAGCATTTTGAGTGCTGTCTTAACAGCCTGAATTCCTTTTGAAAATCAATTTCAACAATATAAAATAATGCTGCTTTATTTTTTTTTCTGGGAGAGTTTGAGGACTGCTGGGCAGGAGGAAGGCCCTCATTCTACCTTGCCTGAGTACTGATCTGAGTTGCAGAAAACTTCCTTATGTTGAATGACTCTTCCTCCACCTGATTTGTCTATCTGTAGTAAAATCACATCATGTAAACAACATAGGTACTGAGGTGGTCTTTAAAATTCCCTTTTGCAACAATTAATCTGAAAGAAAAGAGTGAACTTGGATAAAACCCTAAGTTTTTGGAGCACCAAAAAATGCAAAACCCACCTTTATGTCATCATCTAAAGAGAAGGTAACTGGTATTAATTTGTGAGAAAACAAAACCTTCAACAAGTGCACTGGCAACAGCTAATAACATCTCACAAAATCAACCATATAACTGGGTTAACAAAAGGATTTATTTGCAGGATAGTGCTATAATAATTTCCTCTGTAGTACAACAAATCTAACAAGATCAATGTGGTGAATTTTTGTTCTTCTGAAACCTTTAATAATTTAAAGGCTCCTTTGAAAACCTCATCATCTATATTCAGTAGATAAATTTGATGAGCAATACTTCTGCATGCAAATTTCACTATAAAATTCTTTTACTTTTTAATTCAACAGCATTTTGATATTATATTTCAAATGTATCTTGTAGCTTCAGCTAAAGAACAACATTCCATCATGCAAGGTCCAGTACTGTATACATGCAAAATAACTACGGGTTACCATCTCTGGCGTCCTAATCAAACAGGTATAATCTACAGGGTAAAACACAGCCCTTAAAAAGACAATCTCAGAATTACAGGAAAACATTCATTTCTAGTACATCAATTGCAATGCAGTAAAATAAATTGACTGAGTTAAGAGTCTAACCTGGAGGACCTGGAAGGATCAGAGTTCACCAAAGCCCAATGATCGATGTTAGAAGGGTCAGACATCACACAGTACAAAACAAGATTACTAGTTAGAAATAGTATGAATGACAGCATATAAACTACACAAAAACCCATTTCACCAGCATATTTTGTATTTACAATATAATCCACATGCATGCATAAAACCATACATGAGTACACGATAATATGTATTTTCAGATACAAGTTATTCTGGTGACTAGGCTCTGCTAAGACTATTCATTTACTGGCAAGCTTCAAGCTTATTGCTTTAACATTATGGCTGAGGTCTGCAACTGGTTAGTCCTACTCACAACAGGGTTTGAACTACACTAGACTACTAACCATTTCACTGACAATATTTATCACTCATAATAGTGTGATAACAGGCCTAGAACTTGGCAGATATGTGGAAAATTGTGAATGGCAACTTACTCTTCTGTAAAATCCTGCTTTGGGCAGGGGAGATGTGTGGTTAGCATAAGGACTTACCACCACTAATCAGGTATGAATGTCATCTATCAGTGAATGCAATTATAGGACTAAAAAGGAGGCATGCCCCTCCTCAAGAGACTAAGCAGAATAAATATGGGTCAAAAGGTCTACGAATGCTGTAAACAAAAACACAGCAGAACTTAAAAAACGTATAATTTCAGAATCTTTATTGTTAGCACATTTTTAATGAAAATGCCACAAGAGGCAAATTGACTTGCTTATGATTATAGAGAATGGTATGTGGCAATACTCCTAGAAAATTCATTTAGGTATCCTCTTTCAAAATCTATGTCCATCTTCCCCTGCCATGCTCTTGAACTAATCTGTATTTCAGCTCAAGTGCCACTTGCATCTTTTCTGTCAGTGAAATGATTTAACTATAACATGCAATTTGCTGCTTTAAACTACCTCAAATGCCCATCAGGTTTTTACCTCAATGCACTGTTTCTTAAGTATTTGGTAAATCATTTTAAATGTAATACAGTTGTTAATTGTAATATAGCTGTTGTACTAGCTGTAATATAGTAGTTAAAAATAATGACACAGTCATTTTATTGCTTCTGTTAAGTACTCACAAACCATATTTCACCATTAGGTAAGTTTTGCTATGATTTATAAATTTGTCCTATTTTTGTTGACCATTAAATGTTAGTTGGTCACAGTCCCAGGGCCAAAAAAACCATGATGCACACCCACGATGGTGATCCTCTCTGAAGGTATAGTTACTGCTTGTGCAGTCACAATATAACAAAAATAATAAAATCACCTTAATTTCTTTTGTCCTGCCAGGAAGTTAGATGTATGTTAAGGCCATCAACCATCACAGGCTCCCATATTTACTATCTCATAGCTCTTAGTACAGCACACTAAAAACCAAAGCAGAGTCTTTTCTACTGAATTCTGCAGACAGTTTTTTTTCCTTTCTACCAGTCATCATAGCAAAACTTTGAGATTTCATTATTATTAAATAGATATACAGAGTCATTTTCAATCTAGATGCAGACACTAAAATCCTCCCAAGGGATGGCTTGTGCTACATACCGATCCACTAAGATTAAGACGAGCTTGTGAAAATGACCCTGTTTTGGGTCCTTGGTACCAACAGGATATTGGTAAATCCTGTTTCCCCTTCACAATGTTCAGGAGAGGGCTGTATGATTCCTTTTGATTAAAGCAATACATCAAAAAGAGCTTTCCTCAGTTACTCTATGCACACATTGGTGAAGTTGAACAAAAACAAGAAACAACAAAACAAACAAACAAAAATACAGAAAGAAGGACCATTCTAATCTGGAACTTAAAACACTACTGTCATCCTGGGTAGCTTTCCTACAGACACTGTTGTGCTGGTATAAAAACAGATCTTATTTATTTAGCTTGTGTCACGTTAGACTGTCCAAAATCATCAACAGGTGTTAGAAAAATGAATATTGTCATTTCCCTGAGCTGCAAAACACCATTGCACAAAGTGACAGCCAAGGTGTGAGAGGACAGCACAATCTACATGTTTGTAAACAGGAAAAATACTCTTTTCATCTACACTGAATAAATATGCTAAAACAAGCTTCAGAGCCAGGGGCACTCTATAAAACGTGTTGCAAATGTGGATCCACAGGCTCTTCCATCATGTAGAGAGCAACACTGTGACCCCTTCTAGGTCAGCCCTACTGCAACATGGAGGAAAAGGCTGAAAGGCACCTCTGGACTTATCTTTCTTACCACAGATTAAAAGGCACATATGAAAAATGACTCAGTATATCTATATTTAGACACTAAATAGTATATACATTCCTCTTCATGCAAAGTTATTATTTCGGAGTTAAGGGGCTAACCTGAGGGACCTGGGAGTAGGGGTCAGAGTTCACCAAGGTCATCATTAGAACAAGAGGAAAAACATGAACATTGTTAGAAATATCAACAAACTAACATATTCAACTAAACCTTCTTTTTAGATTTAGCTCAATATTTCTTTAGATACAGTATTCAAGACACCAAACTATTATTATTGCTAGCAATGAAAAACAGTCAAGGAGAACAACAGCAACATTGTGTTGCTCCAGGACCTTGCTTCATTTTACCCTTCCCGATAGCATCACTCCACACTCTAGGTGCAGCTCAGATGAAATCAGACACTTACACTATGTCTGACCTCACAATTTTACTAATATTAAGAATAATCCCAAAAGTCAACAACAAATTGTATATGCATGCAGCTTTAGTTTCATTTGTGACCTTAGAAGGGGTGCAATTTGACAGCTACACAGCTGCTTTTATGACTAGCTGCCTTAGGTTGCAGCATTACAAAATCAGCATTCCAACAATTGAATGCGTTATCATTTGGAACAAAAGCCTGGAGTGCTGATCCTACCAGATCTGCAATAATAGTTTGGTTTATCCACATTAGTTTACGCATAATCGAGCAAGACAAATGCTTCAATTTATACAGTGCATGCAACAAAAATGGAAATAGAGAGAGCGAGAAAGAGAAAACATGGCTGAGCAGAACCTCAGTGGTTGTTTTTTTTCCACCAATGCACATAAATCTGCACAAAATGAGTCCCACTATCCTTCCCCAGTCCGTTTGCATTTGTAACCACCCCATTTATACAGAGAAATGTAAATAAGATTAAAAGCTTCGTAAAACCATCAATGCTACAGCAGCACAAAGAATGACAACTAGTAATTTTATTATACACCAGTAGCTGCTTAGCTGTTTCACTTTTTTTTTTTTTTTTTGGGGGGGGGCTGGGGCTGGGGAAAAAATTTTTTCAAAAAAACTTTTAAAAAAAAAAGCCCTTTTTTTTTCGG